TAATTTCTAAACTAATTCTAGATTACGGGGAAAAAAAAGTGAACATTTGTTCTTTTTCTTACAAATTTGTTAAACCTATATACTAATTAAGGAAGATGATGTAAGCCATTAGAGATTAATCTAACTAGCGTCAACGCGAAGTCTAATCTGATGTTGTTTCGCAGATAATATGATTGAGACTACGTTTGCAAACAATGTCGTTTCCTTTGGATATATGCATATATACACATATATACACACACACATATATATATATATATATGTATGTATGTATATATGTATTGTGGATCATCGACTTTATATATGGAATATCATGTAATTCTCCATCAATCACTCACACATATATCTAAAATCCGTAGCATGTACTAGGCGACAGCATCTTTTTTCATGTCTTTTAGATACAAACGACACTATTGCTGACTCTTAAAAGTAATTATGAATACACATTCTCATATAGTGGTCTACACATAGACAATGAACTAAGTTTGTTAATTCATTAATTTAAACGTGTGTATAATATTTGTGTATGTGGTTTTGGAAAGAGAGAGATTCGTCCATTGAATATATATATAATAATAAAATATTACTTGATCCTATCTGAAGAACAATATCTGGTTTTAGAATTGATCCACAGAAACATAAAAATTAAAGAAGGAAATCTAGTTTTTGGTAATTAATGGGCGGATTTACCGATGATGAATAAAATGATTTAATTTATTTCCTATAATATGAGATTTACTAGTTAATTTAGCTAAGGAAAGCCAGACAACCATTAATTTAAGATTATCAAACATATTGTGTGATAAATGGGACAGCAAAAGAGAGTCTTGGCAACAAATCTGAACTCTTATGGACAACCGTCAATTTAAAGCATGGGAAAACTACAAGGTATAAGATCATATAATAGATTCCCTTAGAATAGTGTCCATATATATGCGTATATATGGACAATAAATAAGAGAGAATTACAAGAATAGCTTTTGGTTTTTATCATCATACCATATATATCGTTAATAATATTCTAGTAAAATATGAAAGATATCCTATTATAATATTAATGGTATAAATGAAAAGTTCAAAATTGATGGTAAAAATAAAACAGTGTTATTTTTTTGTAGCATTTTTGAAAATCTCCCAATAAGTAAACTTTCAAGTTTAGAAAATGAATTATTGATAAGTAGTGGCGGAGATAGGATGAACTATTTTTTTAGTGGTGCATTATAAAAATAGCCAGTTACTAACTAGACTCTAATTGCATACATCAGCTATTAAGTGGGAACATAGTTATAATTTCTCTTACATAAAAAAACGGCGTTGTTTATGCAATTTTCCAAACACCAACTTGCGGGACTGCTCCGTCTTCTCCTCTGCCGCCTTCCGTTCACTCCTTAGCTGGGGGCGCCAGGAGTCGTCTTGCAGAAGACACTCCGATGTTCAAGTCAAGCAAATATCCAATGGATGTAAGAAAAAAGGAAGACAAAGAGGAGATTCAGATTAGAGAAAGCCTCAAACGAGTCTCAAAGGGTCTCCTCTTCTTTTCGGTTAGAGGATCCCTTTTCAATCTTCATCATTTTCTATTTATACGTTGATTGCAATGATTAGATGAGTATTCTTGATCCATCATGATCATGATACATCATCCGTCCTTTCCCTTTAGGGTTTCTCCTAGGATTTCCTTCTTTGGAAAGCCTTCTTAGAAGCTTTCCAATCCAGGAAAGGTCATTTTTAATTTCGTTATTTGCTTTACACGCATCGCATTCCGGTTGGTTGCATTAATTAGAGAAAAGTGAGACGCATGTCACTGCCTCTGGATTCTTTCCCTGACACGAGCCTTTCCCACTCTCCCTTCAGTCTTGGTCTATTTCGGTCGCAATGCGTCGGAGTCCTTCGCGATCCCAATCTCGGTCCCGTTTTCCCCTCGATCGAGGTTCATTTGCTCCCTCGAAGAGGTGGGCATCAATCCCTTCGCATGCCCCATCTTCGGCCTCTTCATTCTAATTGGGTTCGTGGCACATGTTATGATCTTAAATCGACTCCGGAAAATCCCTCAACAGGTGGTACTCTAAAATTTTATACAAAAATAAGGAGTAAAAGTTAAAATTCTAGAAGATAAGTTAGGGTATATGTGCTCAGTCACATGAACGTGACTCCGTCACTAATAACCACAACTAAATGAGATGTAGGTTTTATATGCGGGGATTTGCAGCCGTTTAGGTAATACACTTATTCGCTAACCTAATAATAATTACTGAGCTTATTACATATATTAGGTGACCTAATATTATTGTTGGCAATTACTATCATTAATAAAAGTTTAATACATATATTAACTAACCTAATATTATTATCGAGGTTGTGTTTTGCGGTGATTAGTGATCATTAATAAAATTACTTTTCATATTATAATATTTTTAGCGTAATAATATGATCAAGATCACAAATATTGTTCACTGGCGTAGGTAAAAGTTTATATCCAAACATTATCTTATGATTAATGGTGGCCATCACTAATGCTAGTTTAATAGTAAATTGAATCTCTCTTTGAGTTCATATCGGTATAGTGTTTGCTAGCTTTATAGTTTAAAAAATTTTGTTGAGGTTCTAACAAGAAGTTTTCCCGAGCCTAATCTTCTGTGTTAATTTCGATAGTTGTTTCTAGTATCAATATTGATTCATTGAGCAAAAAAAAAAAAAAAAAAAAAAAAAAAAAAAAAAAAAAAGAAAAGTGGCCAATCTTTAAACTTAAAACTTCATTAAGATAGAGTTGATAAGTGACACAAGTTCGAGCAAATGAAGTTTTATCAATTCTAGTTTTCCAAGGAAGTCGTTGAAATATATTATGGTTACTAATTACTGCGGAGTTTTTATTTTTTATTTTTTTTTTACATATATATTCTGTGGAAAATGGAATTTGATGTAATCCTTTTCCCTAATGAAGGCTACATTAATTAACTTCAACACTTATTTGTACAAGGGGTTTTACTAAAGCAAAGAAAGACGTTTCTTTTTTTTTGACTTTGTTACAAATTCATGAACAATGCACCAAATCCCCTTGGACCTTAAGAAAAACCGTTTTACTATGAGTAATCTAGTCAAAGGATTTTCATCAATTGTAACTCATAATATTCCTTCCAAATAAACAAAACAAAAAATGATATTATATGCCTTCTTACCATTTATGCTCTTTTCCTCCTACAATAAAATAAACTTGTCCCCATGAATTTCTATTCCATACCTAAATTGTACATTTTCTTTGGACTTTGTTCTTCCCTGCTCCTCCAATCCATGTCAAGTTGGGACAGAATCATTGAAGATCTATCTCGTCAACTGGTATGACAAAATTTCACCAACATTTTCTTATAGATCTGTATTTTTATTTACCCTTTTATTTATTTATTTGTTTATTTTTCTTTTTACGGGGAAACTAATAATAATCATGAATACTCAAAAGGTCTTCTCTTTTTCTACTTTGGTAGATTGGAAGTCACCCTCCAATGGCACCAACCAGCCATTTCTTCATATTTTGTTGTGTTGTGATGATATACGCTTGTGCAATGAGTAATGGCATTGTCATATATGTTTCTTAGCCTCCCTTTTATGCTAAGCAAGATGTTTTACAATGATTAGGTTATTTTAATTAACGGTCGATGTCTTGTGTATAAAATAAAATTATGTTTTCTTTAAAAGGTTAAGAACGCTGAAACGGTCGATATTCCACAATTAAAATAATTGATGTTTGATTGATTTCTTAAAATAATTGGCGTTTGATTGATTTCTTTAAAACTATTAGAATGAAACGGTCGAGATCTCATATTCAAAATGGAATGTTATTTCTTTTGAATTTTAGTTATAAAGAAATACATAAAAAGCATGATAACTTCATTAAACTTTATTTATTTAAAACCTTAAAAAACCGTTAGTTCAAGTGGGCCTCAATATGAGACCCATGTGAGTCGTATAATAACCAACGGTCAAGATATTACACTCGCGATACTCGCAAACGCTAATTAAGGGGACATTTGGTAAGGGGATTCGTACCCTGATTCGAATCATAGTTCATGATTCGTTACAGTGTTTTCTCTTACAAAAAATACACGTAAATCGAAAATGGTTATAATCTCATAATTTTAATCTATGAACCAAACGTCTCCTAATTATCCTTCCTCTTGATTTATAATCTATATTTTAATTAGAGTAAAATTCAAATGAAGTGTTTTCATCTGAAAACAAGAAAAGAACCTTGGTCAATCTCTCTCTCTCTCTCTCACTTGTCATCTTGGTCTAACTCAAACCCACTGACAATTGTCATTATAATTGGGCCGTTGGGAGGAGAAAGGCCAGCATCCACCATTCTAGCCCGCATCCAATATTTTGGGCCAAATATGCAAGACTGAAATATAGGGCCCAATTATCTAGGGTCACTTGCAGACAAAAGACCCAAGAGGAACTACAGGACGGTGTCTAGAATATCCCGCCCATAAATGCATGCATGTCAAATGTCTACAATGTATTTTCTGCAAAATCTTTTTATAATGGGAAGCTTTTTTTAAAACACTTTTTTTAAACTAGATAGATTAGATTATATTTTTTTAGGGACTTTTTTTTTATATTAAATTGGATTAGACAGAAAATAGAAAATTTAGGAAAAGAGAAACTATAGCGGGATCGGCCGGTATTGTATGCATCTTATTTTTAAATAATATATACGTATACAAAATATTAGACTCCATAGTTAATATTTTATGAATCCCTATACTTTTATATATATATATATATACACACGCAATATTCTTATAGAAATGTATAGCAATATAAAAACTGTACTTGCGTGTAACCTGTATAATATCATTATCATTATAGTATGAAAAGGAAATTAATAAAACAAAAAAAAAATGGAAACAGAGAACTTTCAAGAGGTAAAAATGGAAATTAAAGGAAAAAAGATATATAAGGAATTGTTAAAATTACATTAGTATTTTTTTTTTCTTTCAGTGCGACCATTTCAAAGCGAGCTTCTCGCAAACCCCAAGCCAATCTCTATTCTCCTTTGGGAGAGAGAGAGAGAGAGAGAGAGATGAGTATGGCGATGTTGGATAGCATTGTCGGTCTTGTCCTTCTCCTTATGCTGCTTCTGATCCTCATCCTCCTCCTAATCTCCTGCAAACCATGGCGCTTCTTCTCCTTCCATCGTTCTCGCACAATCAAGGTAACCAAATTTCCAGAAATCATCACGAAATCTTTCTCCTCTCTCTGTTTTTCCCCCCCAATCCGTCGGAGGATTGCGTTTCCGATCTCGTTCTCGACTTCGCTGCTCGATTCGCGTCCTTGGTGCAATGCGGCCGTTTGGATTGTGAGAAAGCGTGGGAAAATGTTTGGAGAATTTAGGATCACGTTTGTGCCGTCGAAATTGATTGCTGTGTTTTCAGTTTTGTTCAAAAAATTGAATCTTTACAGTTTGTAGGGATGCTTAGTTTTCCGATTTATTGCAAAAATCTTGATTTTTCCCTTTTCTGAGCAATGAGAGAGTGATCGTGAATTTGATGTCGAGAGTTTGATGTTTTTGTTTAGTTTTGTACAGAAATAGAAGTTTATATAGTTTGAACTTTGATGTTAGAAGTTAAAACTGACTGATTATGTTCCTATTGATGATAGATTTTAGACTGAATATGATATCTGAAAGTAACTTGGTAATTGAGGGATCATTGCCACCGGATATTGGACTGTTCCATTCATGTAATTACTGATTTTTTGTTTTGCCAAAAAAGAAAAAAGCATGGAAAAAGAAAAAAAAGCATTTAATGGGTTTTTATATGTTGATATAGATACATATATATATATACATATATATATATATATTTGTTATTTTGTGAAATGTTACAAGAAAGGAATGGAAGTTGGAAATTAAGACCACCATTTCTGAAGTAATGGGTTCATGTGACATTCACTCTTTGAACTTCTCGAATATGTTTAGGTTGGCCAGCTAGAGAGGCCCCTTGTCTCAGATGATGTGGAGTCGACGCCGAGTCAAGTTAATGAGTTGCCAAGAGATTACGACCTAGAGGGAGCGTGTTTCCAAAATGAAGGGCATTTCCGCTCACCCCGAGCGCAGGGACTTGTTCACAAGTCAAGGGCAGCTACTATAGCTCCCAATGTGGCCCAAGGTATCCGACCATGTCCTGCATATGGTGTTTAAATTTTTACTTGATGATTATGCGTAATGCTCTATTTATGCCTTAAGAAAATTGAAAGTTTATCTTTTGCTCGTCTCAGGTGATAGCTTGGTTCTAGATGTGATTGCTGATCATTCAGAAGATGTTTTGGTTGGTCAAACACTTAAGCGTCCATTATTGAGACATCAATTGGGGGAAGAAAAGAATTTTAATAGAGAGAGCTTAGAACATGAGAGGTCTCAAGCATATTTTGCCAAAGATATCTTTGATCAAAGTAATTTCCTGTCCCTTTTACTTGGGTGAGGAAGAGGATGATGTTAAAATAGTTTTTAGTTGGATATATGCTTGAAACACAGATAATATCTTTCTGTTAGATGTGCAGGAAGCTGCCTCACCCTGGAGGTTATTTCGGGGCCTTCTCGCGGGTTACGTTGTTTTGTACAATCAACAAATTCCTCTAGGCTTCCTTTAACACTTGGAAGGGTTTCTCCAAGTGATCTATTACTAAAGGATTCAGAAGTATCTGGGAAGCATGCATTAATAAACTGGGATTTAAATGTAAGTATCTTCATGGTGGTGCTACTTGGTCTTGCATTTATATTGAATCTGCTACAGCACAGTAACTATTTCTTTCTTTTTGGATTCAGAAGATGAGATGGGAACTGACGGACATGGGCAGCCTTAATGGAACACTTTTGAATTCTCAGCCAATTAATCATTCTGATTCTGGAAGTAGACATTGGGGTGCTCCGGTGGAGCTTGCAAGTGGAGACATAATAACTCTTGGAACAACTTCAAAAATATATGTAAGTCTGTATGCCTCTATATTTGAGTTCAAAGAAAGAACAAATCTTTTATTTAGTTGATATCATAGAACTTCTTTTTTCACAATGGTTCTGAATTCAGTTGATAATTAACTTCTAAAACTATAGAATCTACATAGACAAGAAAGAATAGACTATTAATGTGGCATATTATGTACTCTACTAGTACTATGATCATTGGTATTGTTTGTCCATACTTTTACTTTTATTTCTGAGTTTCTTAAACTGCAACTTCATATTCGGTTAGTATGGTCGATCCCATATCAGAAAAATCTTTTGATTGACCCCAGCCTCTGTATCAGGTCCATATTACCTCACAAAGTGAGTGTCAGATCCCCTTTGGAGTTGGCCTGGCAGCGGATCCCATGGCTTTTCGTCGTGGAGGAAAGAAGCTTCCCATGGAAGATGTATGCTATTATCAATGGCCTCTTCCTGGGGTTGATCAGGTTCTTAAAGCTACTTGGCTTTGTCTTTTCAATAAAAGGACTTTGCATCTTTCTGGAAGTGCTAATATTTGCCAAAAGCTTACCTTGCAGTTTGGACTATTTGGTATTTGTGACGGGCATGGTGGAGCAGAGGCTGCCAAGACTGCTAGCAAGTCAGTACTTCGTTGCCATTTCATTTTGAAACCTAGTAACCTGCTAGAAAAGTTATATAGGTAGTGAAAAAAGAGGATTCTAGTGAAGGAAGTATGAATTGTGAAATTTCTAAAGTCAGAAAGAAATACTTGATATCCTAGGGTCAATGGATAAGCCTTCATACATAATGCTGTTATAGAGGCTTCTTTTTCTATCCCTCAGTTTTTCTTTCTGATAAGTGATAAGTGCATTGACGTATTGAATGGGTCTGAGGCTAAATAACAGTATAACACTGAACACTTCATGGTCTATATTTGATTACCTACTTTCGTATTCCTCTTCTAGTTCTTGTCAACGGCTATAAGATATTTATTTGTCCTGTGATAATTCCACTCTGCAGAGTTCTGCCTGAGATGGTTGCTTCTATTTTGTCGGATTCACTTAGAAGGGAGAGGGTGTTATCACTGTGTGATGCTTCAGATGTTCTAAGGGATGCATTTTGTCAGGCAGAAGCAAGCATGAATCACCATTATGAGGTTGTTTCCCCCTCAGTCCCCATGTGACTATATCTTCTAAATTTCAGTTTTTTGTCTCATCGCTTGGACTAAATGAAGTTTTTGAAGCTATAGTCTGCGTATAATAAAGGTTTTTCTTCACAGGGATGTACTGCAACAGTGCTTCTGGTATGGGCTGATGGCGATAAGAATTTCTTTGCTCAATGTGCAAATGTTGGGGACTCCGCCTGTGTTATTAAGTGAGTCTCATGCCATCATCCTTGGATTCTCGAATAACATTACATTGTAAAAAAATATGTTTTGTTTGAATAAAATAACATTATGCCTGTATAGTTTGTGCTTCCTTTATTTTGCGCGATATTATGCTAGATCCTTTGCATTTCTTCTCTATATAGAAAGAATCCTATTTTGGTTTCAGGCAAGGCTAGAAAATATATTAAGTTGGGGGTAACAAGAATTTTCCAGTGTTCATGTTGATACCTGCTATGTTCCATTCTTATAATTCTATAATGTAATTTGATATGCACTTGGATGTGTATATACATGATGATTGTGTGTTGAACTGCATCAGTGCTTCTTGTGATGTTGGAAGTTAGTTTTTCACCTGGTTAATTGATTTTTATTCAGTGTTTTATCTCATGTGCTGTATAGATATGCATCCACATGAAGCGAGATACAAATTTGGATTTGTACATGCGACATTATAGGTATACTGACAATGATTTAACTGTGACAGTGTTGATGGAAAACATATTAAGATGTCTGAGGACCATAGAGTAAGTAGTTATACTGAAAGACTTCGGATGGAAAAAAGAGGAGAGCCATTAAAAGATGGGGAAACACGTCTATGTGGTAATTGCAAACTTCATTTTGTCAAGTAGCTATATCATTTCACTCGCGTCACTGCTCACGTTTTAGCCTCTTCCTCAGGTCTGAATCTTGCTCGAATGCTTGGGGACAAATTTCTTAAACAGCAGGATGCCCGGTTCAGTTCAGAGCCATATGTAAGTCAAGTTGTGCATATCGATCCAGCGAGTCGGGCATTTGCACTGTTAGCAAGGTATTTACTTTTGCTTAAATCTTTTTGTTTATAACACTTGGCATTCAGATCATAATTTCAATACTCTTTCATCCTCAAAATCCCTTTTATACGAATTGGATCTTTCCTTGAGTAGATATGGCAGTATTCCCTACAGGGTCGGAGCCCGCCCCAAAAAGGGGCAGGGATGGGGGACAATAATAGGGATGGAGGTGGGGATGGGTACAAAATCTTGTCCCCAAATTGTAGTTTTGCTGGGGGAGGGGGGAAGCACTCCCCCTCCCCCGCCTCCGCCTCAATATTCTTGTATATATATATTTATAATACAAACAAAAAATATATATATATATATATGTTTGGTCTACCTTTTGTATTTTTCTTTTAAACAAAGAAAAACAATCTGCCAATACAACTTTGCAAGTCCTAAAACTTATAATGACATGCCTGTAATATTGATTCTGGAAATTCAGTGATGGCTTGTGGGATGTCATTAGCGTCAAGAAGGCTGTTCAGCTAGTGCTTCAGGTAATAAATCTAATCGCATCTTGTTTTTCATTGATTAAAAAAAAAAAAAAAGCGCAAAAGAAAAGGAAACTGTTCCGATAAGGAGAATTCTGCAGAGAAGATTGCTAACTTTTTGTTGAGTGAAGCAAGAACACTGCGAACAAAGGATAACACATCTGTAATATTCCTAGACTTCGACATTTCGACCAGAACCTCCTGTAAAGTTGAATCTTAATATGAGTAAAAAGAAAAGTTGATGGAAGGATTCAGCAGCACATAAACCGGGCTTTCATTGATGTCCATCAACTGTTTGTGTTTTGTTGAAATTATGATGCATATAGAAGGGAAAAAAAAAAAAAGAAAGAGGAATGGTTTCCACAAATTCATGTAAGAAACGATTAAGATTTAGGATTAGGTACATACGGCTTTATGAATGTGTATGTCGGATTCGAGAGCGTCGCTTCCGGTGGAGTACCAGCCCAGGATGTAAAAGTGAGGGAAAACCTTCTTCTCTGAACGAAAAGAAAAACCCTGAAAAAAGAAAAGGAAAGGAAAGCGAAGAAATAGTAACAACAACAACAACAACAAGAAACAAAACACACAGCTCCTGCTTCTTCTCGAGGAAGGGGCGGTCGAGAGAATGGGTGGAGGGATCGTAGGGAGGTTACCTTTAGGTACATGGTAAAAACGACAATTTCTGCTGCTGTAGTTACCATTTCTGCTGTAGAAGGATAATTATCTTTTGTTTGAGAAGCACGTTAAAAACGTCAAAATTCTTCAGAAAAAGAAAAACACGCAAAATACAGGAGACGACAATTAAAAAAATGCATCAAGCGGAAACGACATAATATGGTATTATAATCTCACATTGACTGGATATATTGGTATGATCTACTTAATAAGGTGAGGGCAATCATCTCCTAATAAGCCGGTTTTGTTAAGGAAAAAAAGAGAAATAAGTCAAGACTTGAGATGAATTAAAATTAATAGGCCAATAGTTTACATAAGTTAATAAATAGGTTAAATTACTGTTTTCGTCTATAACTTGTCTGGTTATGAATCATAACTTGACAAGTTATTGTTCATAATTGTCCATAACTTGTCTGGCTATGAACCATAACTTGACAAGTTTGTCCATAACTTATCTTGTTATGAATCATAACTTGACAAATCATGGCTTATTAATTTTTATAACTAAAAATTGGCCTATATACTTTCTTAAGCTTTTCATAGTGGCCTATTTTCTACTATTTTCCTTTGTTAAGTTGAGTTAGGCCCAATATCTTTTAATTTCTGTAAAATGGTATCAGAGTCTGCTGCTGTAGTTACCATTTCTGCTGTAGAAGGATAATTATCTTTTGTTTGAGAAGCACGTTAAAAACGTCAAAATTCTTCAGAAAAAGAAAAACACGCAAAATACAGGAGACGACAATTAAAAAAATGCATCAAGCGGAAACGACATTATATGGTATTATAATCTCACATTGACTGGATATATTGGTATGATCTACTTAATAAGGTGAGGGTAATCCTCTCCTAATAAGCCGGTTTTGTTAAGGGAAGAAAGAGAAATAAGTCAAGACTTGAGATGAATTAAAATTAATAGGTCAATAGTTTACATAAGTTAATAAATAGGTTAAATTACTGTTTTCGTCTATAACTTGTCTGGTTATGAATCATAACTTGACAAGTTATTGTTCATAATTGTCCATAACTTGTCTGGCTATGAACCATAACTTGACAAGTTTGTCCATAACTTATCTTGTTATGAATCATAACTTGACAAATCATGGCTTATTAATTTTTATAACTAAAAATTGGCCTATATACTTTCTTAAGCTTTTCATAGTGGCCTATTTTCTACTATTTTCCTTTGTTAAGTTGAGTTAGGCCCAATATCTTTTAATTTCTGTAAAATGGTATCAGAGCAGATCCAGTTTTGTAATATTGGGTCCCCCAATATCGACATATTCACAGTGGTTTAGCATAGTCCATACTGTGCGTGAGGGGGCGTATTAGAATCTCACATTGGCTGGAGATATTGGTATGATCCACTTAATAAGGTGAGGGTAATCATTCCCTAACAAGTTAATTTTGTTAGGTTGAGTTAGGTCTAATATCCTTTTATTTCTATAAAATATGGGAAATGACATTTTCTAAGAAAACGATGATTACCGATACAAAAGAGAGACCGGTTTAGTGGCTTCAGAAAAGCGACGTGCAAAATGACAAGATTAATACAACAACACAAATGTCATAAGAAACGACATCTAATGCAAAACGACAAAAAAAATTACGAGATGATGTCATGAATTAATTCAGAGATAATAAGCTCCAAAAAAAAAAAACAGAGAGTTGCTATTAATTTTTGTGATAGCGCCAAATCCTAATAAAAAAAAATTCAAATGTCCTAAATTGATATAATATGATATGTTCATTATTTATGGAAAAAAGAGATTTGTCCATTCAATTATAGTAAGTGTGATCTAATTGTTACAAAGGAATACTTTTTAGGGAGATTTTCTGGTACGTATGACGTACCAATAGGTCATATTTTTTTAACTATTAAATCTGCGTTTTTTTTTATTTTTATGTGATTTTGTGCAAATTCAATGGATAGAAAATTTGACCTATCAGTATGTTGGCATACCGAAAAAAATTCCTACTTTTTATAGCACTAAATAATATTTTCTTAAACAATAGTGAGTCTAATTTTGTTGTGTTACTATTACATAAGTAATTACCACAGGTCATTATTATAATTATTAAGAAACATTATTTTATAAACTA